TATGTACACAAAGCACCGCTAATTAGTTCGAGGCGCTACACATCGACATTACTATCATTTACACAGTGAACATGTGTGGGTAATTTCATATTAATAGATATGTATAGAAACATTCGTTCTATCACACACATCTTGGTATTACATATCATTTTTGTGTCGGTATACGTAATATTTTAGTAAATAAGTTTAAATAAAAACGAGGGTAAAGATAAAAATACTCATAACAAACTTTGAATAAATCGAAATCAAAAATAATGAACGATCGAGCAATACAATACTTATATAAATATAGTGCATTCTCATTGTATTTTTATGTTACTGAATGATATACAATATTTCGATGTTCTCATCTACGGCGCGCTTGGCGCAATGGTTATCGCCTCCAGTGGTCAAGTAAAGTGCCACCGGATCGATTCCAGCATTCACATGTTGTTTTAGTATTAATTAATCAAATATTTGAAATGTGAAATTAGAAACAATTAAATCTTTTCTTTTTTTCCTATCCTATTTTTCTAAATCTTATGTTAATTTTAATAGTAAATACTTTAGATTTATTTATACCTATAATATCCTTTATTTATATTTTAGTTCTAGTTATTTATTATTTAGAATAATTTAGAATGATTGGAAGAACTTTAAAGTTAACATGTGGTATATAATTAATTATTAGATATAAATATTGAATATAAAACCACATATTTGTATAATTAATAAATTAATTTTAATAAAAAATAGTATTGTTTTATTTACCGACTGATTTGCTTCTTTTATAGCCTGATATTTATATTATATGACAAAAAACAAAAAAAAAATAAATAAGAAAAACAACAAGGTAAAATAAAAAAAAACTTTTAGCTGGAATAGAACCCACATCATCATTGATCCTTGAAAGACGATAAAAGCGTACTCATTAACCAATCGACCACGAGCACTACGATAATTACGGTGAAAATGTCGGGTCATATCAATGATTGTAAATAGTTTTAACCTTACCCATGCATTAAATTATAAAAATACGTATACCGACACAAGAATGAAAATACCAATGTGAACGTGGTGGACGAATATTTTTATACACAGTAATATGAAATTACCCACACATGTACATTGTGTAAATGACAGTAGTGTCGATGTGAGCGTTACGAACTAATTAGCGGTGCTTTGTGTACATACATATATTTTAAACTAACTCCCTAATAACGCTTCCACAATATCATCATCATCAAAAACTACTGGAATTTGAGTCTCCTTTAAATACATCTTTACTGCTTGCAAATGCGTTTGAGTTAGCAGTTTAAAAGGTTGAGGTTGAGATGGTTTAACTCGTCGAGTACCGGTTTTGTAGACACAATTATAGAACAATAGGTTGCGGTCACCGGTGACCGCTTGGTGTTTGACAGTTTAAAATCAAGAAACCAGAAAAACTTCGAAAAATATTTACCAGTATCTATAATAGTGGAAGTGGAATTACTACTAAGAGCCGATAATTCTTAACTGTAGAATACATTTGACATTCGACATTTTTATGCAAGAATAGGGTAAAAGCCTAATTTTTATTCCGTCTGGTAGATTACTTTTAAATCATTAGACACGTATTTTTTATTTTCTTACAGAAACGAACTCTTTCGAATACTTTGAAATGTCGCGTGACGTCACTTCTATGTACATTTTACACGTAGAAATGACGTTTTACCCCCACTCCTAAACTTTGATTCGTTTTATCTAAGTATTGTTTTATCGACGTTATCGTATAGACAAAATAAAAAAATACATGTCTAATACTTTTTAATTACCTGACTGACGGACTAACTAGATTTTTAATTTTCATACCCTGTCATCATCCCAATTATTAAATATTCAAAATTATTCTTGTGATAAATTTCATCTGACGTTGGAATATCGGCGGTAAGAATCGTCTGTTGTCTTAAAGATATCCTCACATCTATCACAATAGACCTTTGACTTAGACTGAAATATAAGGTTATACGTACGCAGTGCGCAGGCGACGCCATGTCGATATGTAGCCAGTTCCCGGGGAAGTCGAAGCCCAGGTGGGACAGTATGAACAAACCAGCGCACGATGGCTGAGCGTTGTTACGGTCCTGGAAACGAGAATATAATAACACTGAAAGATAGGTACACAATTTTATTTTTAGTTATTATGTATTAATAGTAGGGGAGCCCATGATGCTAAATTGGGATTTACTTGAGCGTCCTTGGGACCTACTGGATTTTGAAGATATGCTGATAGAAAGAAGAAATGGTTTAGTGACAATTTCTTCCACCAGTGGGGGAAGGGGGAATCTACAGATCTTTGAAATTGTTAAGCGTAACTTTTGTTCTAGTGGTCGAGCGTGTCGGATATTGATAATGTACATGCTCCATGTGTATTTAATAATAAAAAACTCTTAATCTGCCGGTTTGCATGGTGGGGTTGAATGTTCTGGAGAGTAAAAACGAGAACCCTTCAAAATCCCCCCACTCTTGCAAATCAAGTTGGAATGGGCAGATTTTTTAAACGCACTTCCTTTAGCACGGTATTGACCTACCTTCCCTTAATCTGACGAAACTGACTTTATTTAGTCAGACTTTTTTTTTAATTTTCAGTCCCCCCCTTCTAATCAGATCGGATATATGGTGGGTATATTCAACATGACACTAGGTTTTCCCCATATGTTAATCTGACGCGCTCAAGTAAATACCGAAATCCCTTCATACTATAATGAATTAAAACTACATCTATTTCTGTATATCTCTTTAAAAGTTTAGACAAATTAACAAGACGAAAGCAGTAGAATGGTTTAAGTTCCTCGAATCCCTCACAATCCTCGAATTCTCAATCCCTAAAAGGCCGGTAACGCACTTGTAACGCCTCTGGTGTTTCGGGTGTCCATGGGCGACGCCGATTGCTTACTATCAGTCGATTCGTCTGCTCGTTTACCGGCTTGTCATATAAAACAAAGTTTCTTCTCTACTCATCTTTTGAGGAAGAAAGATAGAAGAAGCATTTATTTGACAGTAAGAATGAATCACATGTTTTTACAAGACTTGCTCTGAAGGTTATGAAATAAAGTAATAATTTTGATTTGACAGGTTATTATAGGTTGATGTACGAGTATAGTTACCGCGACGCTATTCTTCATGTCTGCGACGCAGCTGGTGAACTCAGTGAAGTGCAGTTCAGGCGCGAAGGGCAGCGGGTGCGTGAGGTCCCCGGAGCGCAGGCCGGCCGCCACGCCGCGCGCCTCCAGCCGCGCGCTGTTCGACACCAGCGCCGCGTGGTACTTGCCCGTCGCCGTGCCCTGCCGGGCAACGCATGAGACCCTTGTGTTTAACGACGATAGGCGGACGCCATTACGCCGCTTCGTTGACAGTTTTCATTGTTCCAAAGCGAGAATAAGACTTTTTTTAAGGGGAGGAAACCATCGAATGACTTCTGGAGGGAGTGTCCAGACTCTTACTGACTAAAAACTACCCCGTTCCTACTCCTGCTCATCGAGCCGGAGCCCCGGCAACCCGTTAGTCTCCGCAGCTCCGTATCGGCATCACCCTATTCGACCCCATCCGTGGTGGTCAGATAACTCTTTGTGTCGCGCGCGGAAAGCGACGCGCCTCACGCTCGAGTCTGGTTCTAGTCGGGCGGCGAACTACCCATGTTCGCCGTCCAGGTCTGCACCTGTGCTTACGGTAGCCGGAGATCGTTCCGCGATCAAAAATAAGGCTTAAGACTTCCTCGAAATCCAAGTGAATAGGTTGCTTATGGGACGACGTGCTCCATCGTAGGCCGCATCATCGCTTACCACCAGGCGAGATAGTGGTCAAACGTCGCCCCATCAAATATATATAAAAGTAGCTGTTTCCCGCGACTACGTTCGCGTCTAATAATAACTTCTGGCATATTTTAGATTTTTTAAATAGTCTGTTCTGTAAAAAATCTCATCAGAATCAATTTAGTTATGTATATTTTTCGTGATTTCAATAGTGATTAAAACTCCATTTGAATTCCAATCAAATAAGTACAGCGGTTGAAAACTACTAGACGTCATTTTCCGAGTCTCAAACTATCGTTGTACCGAATTACACTGAAATAGGTTCAGTGGTTTAAGCAATAGATAGTCCCGGAATTATTATACTATTAGTGTAGATAAAAATATGCTAGCATTTGGCATTTGTAGGTCGCCTATTGTCATTTGTAGGTTGCATGGTTTCTTTTAATGGCGCGTCGTGGACCGTAACCCTAACTAAAATGGATAGCGCACACTTTGATTTTCTCGTATTTAGTGAAAGCATTTCGAAAGTTGATTTTAACAAGACACATATGAAAAGCAGACTATATAACTAACTTTCGAATTTTACTTTTAACTGAGTGCCAAGACTATTCGTAACGTAATATTATCAAGCGCGTTCGGCGCTTTGATTGGCTGGCTCCAGTAAACCAACCAATCAGAGCGACGAACGTGCTCGACACTGTAACTTTACGAATACGATAGTTATTCGTGCTTTGCACTCAGATGCAAAACTACAGGTTATTCTTTATACAATTTTAATAAAGTTAAATATAGTATGATCTCATGTTTATTAAGATTGTTTCTTAAATCAATTATAAAATTTAACAAGTTACGTACCTGTGCTCCAGTAAGAGTGGCGATATCCACAATGGTATCCGCCTTCAGATTCCTAGAGGCGTAAACCACACCGTCACTGAGGACCAGACGACCTGTAAATATAGTCATTCATAATCAGTATCATCATCAGTAGTCTGTGGGCTTACTGCTAGACTATTAATCTTCTTTACATAAGAAGGGTTTGCTAAAAGGGCTAGGCAGGCAAGTTGGAGATAAAAATAATAATATAACTTGCAAGTAACGACACTTATGCAAGCGCCAGTAGGCAGCGCGACGTCGCCGCGACCGCGCACGCTGCTCATGAGGAAGAACGCTTCTGTAGTTCCTATGTTCTTTTAAAAAAAACCTTCCTACACTAGGATTTTCTCCTGTGTCGTGGGTGCATCTACAAACTTACAAGTTCACATACACATGACACCCAGACCCGGAACAACAATTTGTGGATCACACACAGAGTTGTTCCGTGCGGGAATCGAACCCACGAAACGTTGCAGGACAGCCAGTTGCCCAGCCACTGCGCCAATCATGCAGTCGAGACCAGTAGAGCTTTTATCAGTATATTCACGTGAGTAACCCGCGATTTTAAGTTAGTAAAACTTGCCTTCAGCATCCGTATTGTTGATTTCTACGGTGCGTCCCGAGTACAGGGTGTGGATGTCATCCGGTCTAGAAGAAAAATAGAAATATTTAAATTAAACAGAGTCCTTATAACATACTTGTGAAACTTGAAGTTTTAACTCGTCGAGTACCGGTTTAAGAGTTCTAACAAAGTGAAATGATAATAATAAATCCTTATTTCCATTCTTCAGCATCATTCGTTGAACGGTTAGACAAATTTCGCGCATTATTCTTTTGTTAGATTTGTCAAGGCTCGAATAGAATAAGGATCTAATAAAAAACATAACATCATTAGAGGTGCACATTACGGCACTTAATGCCACTGTACAATGTAACACCCACTTTTCACTATTTATGTTATGAGTCCCATGTAATAGGGGGTGAGCCTATTGCCATATACCGGGCGCAATTCTAGACTCCGTGCTACTACTGAGAATTGAGAATGAGACCCGGGAATCTAACCCGATACCCCTTGCCCGGCAGTCGCACTTGCAACCACTCGGCCAACGAGGCAGTCTATCATAGAGTCCAGAGAGAGTACTATCTTATACTATTATATAAAGCGGAAGAGTCTTTTTTTTTTTGGACGCGCTTATCTCCGTAACTACAAGTCTGATTTGAATAATTGTTTTTGTGTTGGATAGCGCATTTATCGAGGATGGCTATAGGCTATAAAACATCACGCTAAGACCAATAGAAGCTAAGCAGAGCATGAGAAACCGCGCGGAAGTAGATAGTTATAAATAAATACATAAATAAATAAATAAACAATCCTTACCTAGTAGCAAGAGGGCCGACAGAGTTCTCAGCGAGACAAAGCACGGCGTGTAGATTGACGGTTGGTTTGGACTTGACCGCCAGGGCGAACGCGCCCAGTACTGCCGCCGCCCCGCCGCAGTCACCTTTCATACCTACCATTGAAGTCTGTAGGAAGTAACATGTATTTTATTATATACGGGGTAGGTAGAAGTGTATATTCAATGGTTACATCAGCTTTTTACCGATAGGGTAGTAGACTGTGTATGAAATTTCAAAATGTAATTAGTACGTCAGTTAGATAATAAAAAAATAGTAGACAAAATAAAAAAAATGTGATTCTTTTATTAATTCAAATCAAAAGAAACAAAAAACTCCTTGGTTATTGAATAATATGTAAAATTGTTTTTTTTTTTATTGTAAAGCAACACTGAAATATTATGTATAATGTATGTACTATGTACGGTCAAAGGTCAAAAGTCCACTGCCACCGTAAGACTACTATCGGTTGCGCTGCATTGCTTATACACACACACACACATACACACGCATATTTGTATCTGTGTGCGTACGCGTGCGTGTGTTTATGCGTACGCACGCGTTTTAACTCGTCGAGTACCGTCATTATAGACACAATTATAGAACAATAGGTTGCGGTCACCGGTGACCGCTTGGTGTTTGACAGTTTAATGCACGTTAATATGAAATTACTTACGCATTGCCGTGTGAACATCACTCACGGTGGCAGTGGACTTTTGACAAACAAGATGTATGGATGTTTGGATGGGTGGAAGTATGTATATTGAATGACAAGATGAATATGGAAAACCAAACATAATTTTATTTTACTTTTCAAAAACTGATGCAAAGTAAATCGGGTGGATGAGTGAATGCACAAAATCGACAAGTATGATACCCAGCAGATGATCAAACCCGCGCTGGAATGGTAGTGTTGCTTTATAAGACCTATTTTGGGAAACAAAATAAAGAATTTTGAGTATTGGATGCAATACATCAACTACATATTTGAACTTGTATTCCATAAAGTGGGTATTGCACAAAGTACTATATTTTACTACTTATAATTAATATAAAAGTCCAATTAAATCTTCCACCAAATCCCCCATACCCCCTGCAAACTCTGTCCCGCATCCCCCAATCCCCCAAAGCATGAAAAAACGTCACAAACTTACCCTTGCCTTAATACTGAGGCCGCCAGTGTCGTAGACGATCCCCTTGCCCACCCAGGCCACAGTGTCCGCAGCGCCGGGGGCATTGTATGACAGCGTCACGAGTGCCGGTGGACAGGCCGCCGCCCTCCCCACTCCGTAGATCCCCCCCATTCCACGAGCCTTCAGTTCCTCTCCCCGAATCACTGTTGGTTCGAGGATATCCAGTTCTTTTGCTACTTTGAATGCTTCCTGTAAAAACGATTTTAGTTTGAAGATTCGTGGTGTGGAGAAAAAAATCAATTTATTGTTTTTTTAGTAGATCTTACCTCAATAAACTTATCAACATTCATAATATTGGCCGGAGTATCAGTGATCCTGGCAGCCAGCCTGGTGGCATCCGCTGCATCCTGCAAGGTCTGAACTTCCTCAGCAGACAGAGTGTTGTCACATAACACGGGGTCTAAAATACCGATACCCTCGTCCTCTGATTCCCCATCTGAAAGGGGTTAGAATACTCTGACATTTTTAGGGGTGATTTAGTTGATGGAGTACTTAATGAAGATTTTAATGGAGTATAGTGATGGCAAATGATTTTTCAATGAGCGAGACAGGAAAAGCTAAAATACTGACATCTGTGAATATTAAATTCAATTGAAATGGAATTTTTCTGTGATAACATAACATCACGCCTTTTATCCCCAAAGGGGTAGGCAGACAGAATGTAACACTCACTTTTCACTATTTATGTTACGAGTCCCATGAAATAGGGGGTGAGCCTATTGCCATATAGCGGGCACATTTCTAGACTCCGTGCTACTACAGGATTTTTTCTATCCTTAGACGTTTTTTGCACAATTCTGAATAATATTCGTATCAGATTTCAGCTCTGTGATTTTTTATATGAATTCTAATGTTCAAAATGTACTATTCTAATATCTAATTCATTGCTAAAGCTCAAATACTGAAAGGTTACTCAATTTTAAATTGTACTTAAATATCGTGCCATCTCTGTCATTTTACAAAGAATTTGTAGAGACAGAACTATTATTAAGCGCGATTTATATATGTATAGCCTTTCAGTATTCAGGCATAAGTTTTACTATAGTACTGACCGGGTTTATCCTCCTTAAGCAGATGTATTTCTACGGCGACGGAGCGCGCGGCGGGTGGCGCCGGCGCCGCGCTGAGCGGGGAGGCGGCGGAGCGCGCTTGGAATAAAGGGTAGCAGCGCGCTATACTTACTGCGCTCGGTAGCGCGTCGCGTTTACGACATACCAACTGTCAAACAGGAAGAAATTGTATTAAAATATGTGATGTGATAATCTTACATGAGGTCTATGTTTAGCAGTAGACGGACTCAAATGGTACGGTTATAACAAGTCATTTTAAACTTTATAGGAGTGTAAAACAAATTGAACTCAATCCTATAAGGGATAGTCATCGGAATGAGCATTAATGAACTTATTAAACGTTTCCATGAACGAATATAAACGTCCTAAAGGGCCTGGATTGTAAAGTACCAAAAAGACATTGTTTCTATTTCTCCCTCTGAAATCAGGGGAAATTCAAGTCATAAGGAATGTCTCAATCATTATTTTATACCTACTTAAGAAAAGTAATATTGTGACAAAAAAGCGAACTCACCACAATAGTCTCATCAGTAGACCGTTGAGTAGACCGGACGATTTTAGCCAGAGCATGGTTTCTGGCTGGCGCAGCGTGACGGGAGCGTCGAGCTGGTAATGATGCTAGAGAGACTGCGCGCGGCCAGAGCTCGCACGAGTCGCCCGGGGATGAAGTCACGCATTGAAGACCACGGCGCCAGGCCTAAGGGAAATTAGTATTGTTATTGTAATAGGAGGAGAGTTCTTTATGACTGTGCATTTGGCCAAAATTTGCAAGTTAACATGCATGCGACCCATTTTTGATTTATTAAGAAATGTGTGAATCGAAAATGTATTGCAGGATTTCTTTTAGTAAATGTTTCCTTTTGTTACGTTTCTTTTTAACACCAATCAAAGATTGTACTGTTCGAAACAAAAAGACAAATAGTTGGTTGTTCCGCTTCGGCTCACGGAAATCTATCTGCATTTAGAACATAAAATTAGTTCTACTTAGAGACCAACCGACAGAGAGACAGGTTTACTTTCAAAACCTTGCCTTTTTGGTCTGATTAAAAAAAAATAGTTGTGACGACTTCGACTTCAACTTTGCGGTTGTTTTTGCAATCCATTCTGCTCGTTTGCCGTCAATTTCATATAAAAATATAACTTAAATCATACTGCTTACCTCTTCACTAACTCTAGGTTCCAGTTTACAGCGCACATCGTCCCAGTTGAGGGCGCTGAGGTGAGCCGCCTGCCCCACTATCAGTACTGGCTGCTGTTCAGGGTCTGAAGACGTCAGCCCCGCCCTGATCTTTATACTCACCGACGCGTTCGACATTGTGCGAACTAGATAGACAGAGAAGATACATTGAAAGATAAATTACTAACGGAGATTGGACATAAATAAATAATATCACTTAAGAATGTGTATTATTGTGTGTGCTCATGATTTGATACCAGCTACCTATATTACAAGTCTCATAATAATATGTGGATACAAGTTGTCGCTATTCATACTTTTTTCGTTAAAAAAAATTTACAGATCATCTCAATTCATATTTATTTATAAATTTATGCACAACAATCAAACAGTACACATTAGAATATATATAAATGGATTGGCGGTACATAAGTACTGCATATTCCCGTAGGAAAAACCATAAAAAGTAAGACACTGTGACATATAGTATGAACAAATATAAAAAATACCAAAACTTTAGTCAACATAAAATAAAACCAGTATATTCCATAGCGGTGATCAGTGACCGCTCTCCACTAAATACATTATAGACCTCATTTCCAATGTTTAGAGACTACTTTTGTATGAACAAATTTAGGAAATGATTTTCAACAATTTTCAAAGGGTTACATAAATATATCCCCTCCATACGGATAACTTTATGAAGAATTAATCTTAGTTATACCAATATCATAACATTATGCAATAACACAATTTTTCTCCTAACTAAATCCAAATACACTCCTTACACATTCTTTACACACATAACATTTGTATTTTTAAATAAAAAAATAACACTAAATGTTAACAAATTACTTTGTCTAGAAGCCCAGCTAGCGACATTAGGTTTTAATCTATACTGCATGTTGACACACCTGCCTACACTCTAACAGATATCAAAATAACGCACAAAGTCACATTGATATAACTTTAATTTTTTTTTTAATATAAAAAAAGTAAAAAAAGACATATGTTGTTTGACAACTGACTAGTTTATCTCATTTATGTATAATATATTAAATGCATAATGAACTAAGATTTGAATATTGTTTACAGATAAACATCATAATATGGTTATCGTATAACAAATTCTAGGTATCTAGTTAGTAACTGAGCAATTGAACTTTGGTATTTCGGTTTGTTTTTGTACATACAAATAGGTACTAAATATTGTCTGGATGTCGCTACCCGAAGCTGGTATTAACATAATGTGATTTACACAATTATTATTGCTATGTTAGAAAAGCTAGGCAGTAATATGATCACAATGTCTTAAGTAGCAAGCCGAAGTCAAGGACTGTTTTTTTTATAATAATTTTTTGGTCTTTGTGACACAACAGAAATTAATGTCACGCAGAGGTGCACATTATGGCACTTAATGCCACTGTGTAATGTAACACCCACTTGTCACTGTTTATGTTATGAGTCCCATGGTAATAGGGAGTGAGCCTATTGCATTGTACCAGGCACAATTGCAGACTCAATGCTACTACTGAGAATAAAAAAATACCCAGTAATTATTTGCCCGACCAGGAAATTGGACCCAGGACGCTTTGCCCGGTAGTCGCACTTGTGACCACTTGACCAACGAGGCTGTCGAGGCAACGGCAAAGTTTGTGAAACAAATGAGTGGAGACCAAAGTAAATTAAATAATATTTTGCTAGACCTAAGCATCAAATTCGAACTAATAACATACATACATATATAACTTTACGCCTGTCTCCCATGGGGATAGGCAGAGAACGCCAATTACTACGATTCCTACATACCTCTTTCGCTTCATCAACAGTCATCAATCTTTTCATGCATACTCGTCGGTTAAGGGTACTTTTAATTTGGCCTTTCTTTAATATATCGCCAATCTAACTTGTAGCTTAACAAATAACGCACAAACTGACAATGTCTCGTTATTTTTTTTAAGAAAAAGATTTTAAAATGGAAATATAACAGACAACTGTTATATTTCCATTTTTGCTGCTCAGAAAAACTAAAAAATAATACCTACCTTCCTAGAGCACCTCAAATCTGCTTCACTTCACTACAAAACTTCAACTGACACACAGTAAATCAGAGTGTTGTAAATATACTATTTAAGAACCATTACAGTAGACAATAGATTAATTACTTACATAAATAGAAGAGGCACAAATGCACTTGTCACGCTAATTACATGTGAACTACGGTAATGGTAATCAAGATTGGAAAATATGAGACCTTTGAATTAATTTCTGTTTTAATTGGTTTGCCTGTTTTATTGCATATCTCTGTCTCTGTCTATGAAGAAGAATTACTAAACTGCTCAGTCCTCAAGCGGTCACTGGTGCCCGCTCTCCGCTAAATTCATTATAAATCTTATTTCAGATGTGTAGAGACTGTTTGAACAAATTTTGGATATGGTATATCAATGTAGGTATTAATATAGGTTTTTGAGACAAGGAGTAAATAGTGTTAGCTTTTTTGTTGTGCTTAGAGTACTAAGCAGTAGCTTAGCAACCAATGACATGAATAATAGTAGTGCTTTATAATAACAAAAGGAAAGATGAATGTATGCTAAAATTAGGATATTCTTATTAGATTGAAGCATAAGATGGAATTTAAGAATAAATGTTATTATACAACATATAACATGACATGACATAACATCATGCCATTTTTCCTCGAAGAGATAAGCAGAGGTGCACATTACAGCACTTAATGCCACTGTACAATGGATACAGTACATGGGAGACAGGCGTGAAGTTATTTATGTATATATGTATGTAACTAGCTGTTGCCCGCGACTTCGTCCGCGTAGAATAATGACTTCTGGCAGAATTTAGGCTTTTGAATTAGTTTTTATCAAGGGATATTCTACGGTAATGGATGTCGTCAGAATTGATTCAGTCCCGTAGATGATAGCGTGATAATATGTAGCCTATATGTTTACCAGACTTGTTAGTAATATTCATGCAAAATTTGAAATAGTAGTGCAGTACTTTTTGAGATCATCACGGCCATACATACAGACAAACAGACAAAAATTCTAAAAACCACATTATTGGCTTCGGTATCGATTAGAGATCACGCTTCAAATATTCTTTTAAAAAATATTCAATGTACAGTTTTGACTTTTCTACGATTTATTATATGTGTAGATAGCTGTTGCCCGCGACTTCGTCCGCGTAGATTAATGACTTCTGACAGAATTAACCAGAATCAATTCAGTGCCCAAGTAAGATTTACCTATTTTGAAATGATTTATCGTAGTTTCAATAAATAAATAATCCCGCAGGGATCTTACCAGTACAGTGCCCGATCACGTAAGGTTTGAGTAATAAAAACTATTCTATCGACTATTGTTGTACCGAATCTCTCTAGAATAAGTTCAGTGGTTAAGAGTTAGAGAGTCCTGGGGCATTGACGCATAGTTCCCGTTCTCGTGAGACATCTGTGAAAAAACTATCATACGTTACCCAGGTCCCAAATCATCGTTTTACCGAATGTAATTCAAAAAGATTCAATGATTCTAAATTCAACGGCTAAGAAGATTTATACAAACTCTCATTCCCTATTTTATCCCCTTAGGGGTGGAATTTATCAAAATCCTTTCTAAAGAGATACCTATGTCATAGTAACTTTATGCATGCAAAGTCTCAGCCCGATCAATTTAAAACTGGCAAAGTATCATACTTTGGGGTGAGAATGTTCAAAAACCTTTCTAAAGGGACGTTTACGTCATAATATCCATCTGCACGCCGAATTTCAACCCGATCGGTGTAAAACTGACAAAGCCTCACACAAACGTTCATCCCCTATTTTACCCCCTTGGTGGAAATTATCAAAATCCTTTCAAAGCGGATGCTTACGTCATAACATCTATCTGCATGCCAAATTTCAACCTGATCGGTTTAAAACTGACAAAGGCTCATATAAACTTTCATCCCCTATTTTACCCACTTGGGGGTGGAAATTATCAAAATCCTTTCACAGCGGACGCCTACGTCGTAACATCTATCTGCATGCCAAATTACAACCCGATCGGTTTAAAACTGACAAAGTCTCATACAAACTTTCATCCCCT